ATCAAAAGAGACAAAGAAGGGCATTACATAATGGTAAAAGGATCAATGTAACAAGAAGAGCTAATGATCCTAAATATATATGCACCCGATACAGGAGAAACCAGATACAAAAAGCAAGTTCTTAATGACTTACAAAGAGACTGAGAATCCCACATAATAATAGTGCGAAACTTTATCACCCCATTGTTAATATTAGACAGATCAATGAGACAGAAAATTAATAAGGATATCCAGGACTTGAACTCAGATCTGGACCAAGCAAACCTAACAGACATTTATGGAACTTTCCACCCCAAATCCACAGAATATACATTCTTCTCAGCACCACATCACACCTACTCTAAAATTGATCACATAATTGGAAATAAATCACTCCTCAGCAAATGCAAAAGAATGGAAATCATAACTAATAGTCTCTCAGACCACAGTGCAATCAAGTTAGAAATCTGAATTCAGAAACTGACTCAGAACTGCACAGCTTCATGGAAACTGAAAAACTGGCTATTGAATGTTGACTGGATAAACAATGAGAAGAAGGCAGAAATAAACATGTTCTTGGAAACCAACGAGAACAAAGATACAACATACCAGAATCTCTGGGACACATTTAAAGCAGTGTCTAGAGGAAAATATATAGCCATAAATGCCCACATGACAAGCAAGGAAAGATCTAAAATTGACACCCTATCATTAAAATTGAAAGGGCTAGAGGAACAAGATCAAAAATCTCAAAACCTAGCAGAAGACAAGAAATAACTAAGATCAGAACAGAACTGAAGGAAATAGAGACCAAAAACCCTTCAAAAATCAACAAATACAGGAGCTGGTTTTTCGAAGAGATCAACAAAATAGACAGACCACTAGCCAGATTAATAAAAAAGAAAAGAGAGAATAATCAAATAGATGCAGTAAAAAATGATAAAGGGGATATCACCACAGATTCCACAGAAATACAAACCATCATCAGAGATTATTACAAACAACCCTATGCACATAAACTAGTAAACCTGGAAGAAACGGATAAATTCCTGTACACCTGCATCCTCCCAAGCTTAAACCAGGAAGAAGTTGAAACCCTGAATAGACTAATAACAAGGTCTGAAGTTGAGGCAGCAATTAAGAGCCTACCACTCAAAAAAAAACCCAGGTCCAGATGGATTCACAGCCAAATTCTACCAGACATACAAAGAGGAGCTGGTACCATTCCTTCTGAAACTATTCCAAACAATTCAAAAAGAAGGAATCCTTCCCAAATCATTTTATGAGACCAACATCATCCTGATACCAAAATCTGGCAGAGACTCAGCAAGAAAAGAAAACTTCAGGCCAATATCCATGATGAAGATAGATGAAAAATCTTCAATAAAATACTGGCAAAGCGATTCCAGCAGCACATGAAAAAGCTTCCCCACCATGATCAATTAGGCTTCATCCCGGGGATGCAAGTTTCATTCAACATACACAAGTCTATAAATTGCAATTCACCACATAAACAGAACCAAAGACAAAAACCACAAGATTATCTATCTCAATTGATGCATGGAAGGCCTTTGACAAAATTCAACAGCCCTGTATGCTAAAAATCCTCAATAAACTAGGTATTGTGGGAACGTATCTCAAAATAATAAAAGCTATTTATGACAAACCAACAGCCAATATCATACTGAATGGGTAAAAACTGGAAGCATTCCCTTTGAAATGTGACACTAGACACGGATGCCCTCTCTCACCACTCCTATTCAATATTGTATCGGAAGTTCTAGCCAGAGCAATCAGGCAAGAAAAAGATATAAAGTGTATTCAATTAGGAAAGGAGGAAGTCAAATTGTCTCTATTTGCAGACAACAAGATTGTATATCTAGAAGACCCCATTGTCTCAGCCCAAAATCTCCTGAAACTGATAAGCAACTTCAGCAAAGTCTCAGGATACAAAATTAATGTGCAAAAATCACAAGCATTCCTATACACCAATAACAGACTTAAAGAGAGCCAAA